CTGTTCCAATACAAGTTTTGAAAGTTATAAAAATGTCCTCGAATGCCAGACCTGAACGTAGCGCTGATTCCTACTAGAAATGCTTGGAAAATGTTTTGAGTGTAGGGAAATAATGGGCGAGTAATGTTTTTGAGGACATTTTTATAACTTTCAAAACTTGTATTGGAACAGCAGGAGCGATACATTACTTTTATAAGAAGATAGTTTTTTGCAGGATGCATTAAGTCGATACAGATCAGTATTGTGGATGAACGACGATCTCGAGTTTCTATCAAGAAATCTTGACGACATTCTGAACAAGACCACTTCAGCCATCACTGCTATTGGTCGTGAGTACTCCGTGAGCACTAGAAAACACGGTACTTCTTCAATGTCACTCTTCCATTTCTTGCATAATTTTGGCAATTAAACACATATTCTACGATGAGCCGATGGGCGGGGATTCATAGCTATTGTGCCTTCTCATTGACGCACCCCTTTTTTTCAATATGGTAAAGAGAACGCGCTCGCCGATGGGGCAGGTGCGATAATTGTTTATCTCCGCCCATACTATGATAAATACAGTCTTCATCCGGGCACTTGATTAGGCGGCCAAGGGTCGCGACGCGGCTGCGGCGTGTCACGAGCGCGGCGATCAGCTGTTTCCAGCCTATTTTGGCTCCCTAATTTACGCTGTTCTGGCTGCTTTTCTCAAGATTCAGTTGTTCCTTGTCTTCACAAGGTAAATTATGATTGAGATTCCTCTGATTTTTGCGTACAATTAAACAGTTAAGCAGACAATTGAACAAATACCTGAAAAAATCGCAAAAACACTCTATTGCAAAACAAAAAAAGAGTCCACATCCTAACACACTTCATAAAGGCAATAAAACAACTACCTTGAAAAAAATAGAAATACACTGAAAATTAGGGAGAAAATGGCCAAATTAGGCCGGAAACAGCTGATCGCCGCGGTCGTGACGCGCTGCAGCCGCGTCGCGACCCTTGGCCGCCTAATCAAGTGCCCGGATGACGACTGTAGGTTATTCGTTGGTTAGTGACGTTATTGGAAATCAATTTCGTTCTTATATATTCTCCAATCGTATCGGCCGCTTTGGCCGGTCGATCCTCCTTCTGCGTGTGAAAAGGGGTCTTCCCCAATGCTCCTACTCCGTTACGGTGGATTTAGTCCCATGGGCAGAAGATACAATGAGCGTATGATAGCGGGCCTTGGGGTCACTTGGCGAGCTCCGCTGATGGGTGTTTTCCTTCTAACAAGCAAACACTATTGAAGAGTGCGCAGTGATCTGAGATGGACTACGCATCCCTGCCCATGAGAGGCAGTAGTCATGGCTGCACACTTCATTCGAAGAAGGCGTGGGATAGGTTATTCGTAGAGAATTTCAATCCGAGATAACTGTCATATCGTCTTATGCTGGACAATTAAAGTGATTAGTGATCCCAAAATGAGAAATAATCCGCCAAATCGCGCAGCTGCCAAGTTTTGAAATGCATGGGCACAGGCCACGCCCACCACACTCGTGATGGGTGCCCAGACCTTTCCAACAGTTATTTTTCAGCATTTGTCATGTACTTTCCTGGGAAAAAAAGAACACAGCATTCACAACGAGAATTACACGTTACTTCTGTTGCGAAGAGGAGCCGGAAAGGCGCTTCAATGGTGAGTCATCGTTTGGTCTGGGGAAGGGGAGGGGGTGGGGAGTGATACACTTGATGCCTCTCCATCATGAGTCGATAACTCGCAGTCAGTCGGAGCACTGTCAGTGGGCGGAGTGAGCCGCGTCGAACAAAAGCAGCTAGAACGAAGAATAATTGCATATAATTGAGTATTTCTCTTCCACAGCACTGCTTATTTGTTGACTGTCCCAAGTATTGCCAAAATGTTCTTTGTTCATTGAGCAAGACCTGCTCTACGACTGGCTGTACAGGGTGCGTGCAAAGAGATCCCTGAAACGGTCTATATCCCGGAGATGGGGAGGGCATGTCCACGACCTAGTGTGAGTGTACGTAGAAACCGATCCAAGCTGGAGCCTCAGGCAGTGTGTGCCTAAGACAAACTGTACGCTCGCATCGTGGATCCTGATGGTTGCCGTGTGTGGAGAAGAATGAGTTGGCAGCTGCATATCAGGCCAGCCACTTGCTTCGATCAAAAGCACACGGGAACAAGGCTGGAGGGTAGTGATGCTCGGATGCCGTCTCCATACTCCACCCGGCTCGTCAGCCAGGCGCCTAACCATGGATGAACGCGCTCTTTGTCTGCGCTCTCTTACTTCTGCATGTTCTCTATCGCCAAGTTCGTCTGCGGGACATTGGTAACAACGCAAGTGGTACACACTGAAGGAAGAGCGGGCGGAGTATAGAGACCGCACATGGGTAGCCCCAGCGTAGAACCCCGATTCCATGCATTTTGACACGCTGACACGCTTTGGCGCACTACTGCAGCTGTGGGTCCATTCACCCCGGGGGAAACCATCCTCGAAGAGTGTGTGTACAGTTCGTTCTAAGAGAGCGCAGGCAGCCTAAAGTCGACGCACCTCTCACCCCTACCATCTGCCCGAATCGGCAAGTCTCCACAGATAGGCAGCCACTGTTTCGCGACCAGGGTACCTTGAAAAGCAGTACCC